AAATCAATTATTTTCCCTCCATAGGCCTATTTGTATTCTGTAATCATATAATAGGCTATATAGAAATGAAAGATTTTTCTTTTATGTTGCTGCAGCACTGTTTTGGGCATTAGTGGCATATGGTGCCACCTCTTGATGGTGTCACCCGGGGCGGCCCGTCCCCCACCTCCCCCTCCGCCCCCCTTACGACGCCACTTTGATAATCTATGTAACTGTATGTGTGTATGCCTGAATAAGCTTCCTATTTTAGGGTATTTATCTCATATTATTATTCTTACATTCATGGTAGAGCACTAAGCCCAAAGAAGGCATACAGTGCATGGAGAATGAGAGGCAATCAGATTCATTCCAAGGATGGGAAGTTCATGTCCACTTCCTTAGATGAAAAGCTGTTCACCAACATCAAGGTACCTCCTTTCCCTACCTTGAAGGGCAGAGAGAGTGGAGGTAGTTCCATTTCCTTAGACCAAGAACTGAGCATCAAAGCACCTCCCTTTAGGGATAGCACTCTGGGTGAAGGGAGACTAAATTTTGAAGCAGCATAATTATTAATATTATTTTTATATGGGAGTGGACTTGTCGGCAGATGGGTCTGTGAAAGATGAGGTGAACTATAGAATTGATGAAGGAGAAAAGGGTGGGTGGTGCATTGAGGCATCTGTAAAGGCAAAGAACATTATCCATGGAGGCAAAAAGGATAATATACCAGAGTATAGTGATACAAATACTCTTATATGGGTGTGAAGCATGGGTTTTAAATGTTGCAGCAAGGAGGCCAGAGGCAGTGGAGATGTTATGCCTGAGGGCAATGTGTGGTGTGAAAATTATGCAGAGAATTTGTGATTTGGAGATTAGTTAGAGGTTTCGAGTTACTAAAAGCAATAACCAGATGGCTGAGGTGGTTAGGACGTTCAGAGAGGATGGAACAAAATAGGATGACTTTAAGGGTGTATAAATCTGTAGTGGAGGGAAGGAGTCGTAGGGGTCATCCTAGAAAAGGTTGGAGGGAGGGGGTAAAGGAGGTTTTGTATGCAAGGAGCTTGGATTTCCAACAGGTGTATATGTGTGTGTTAGACATAAGTAGAGGCAAGTGAATTTACGACTTGACATGCTATTAGTTTTATGGAGCTTTATTAATTTTATGGTAGCCTAATACTTTGTCACCCCTCATGAGGTTGGACCACAAAGAAGTTCATGGTTCAAGTTTTCCATGTAAGAAATGTGAAATCCAGCAGGAGGACTTATTTGAGTTATACCGAAGAGATTTAGCAAGGTCATAGTAGTCTAAAGTAGGTGGCTATTGCTATACAATATGTACTGTATTCATAAAAAAACGCCAAACCTGTATAAGATATTCACAACTGATGTAGGCAAAGGGGTCTGATGACAATCAAGTTTGATCTAAGGACAGCAGAGATTCAGTTCTTTGGATCAAGAGCCCATTACCAGCATCAAGGCACCTCCCTTAAAGAGTCTAGGTAACTGAGAATGTTACATTTCACCAAATATTGAAAGGGTGATTATGAAATACGACAGCCATTGCATATTGGTCGAACGAGAGTAGTGGTCAGATTTTTCCAAGGGTGAGTCAACTCATCCAAACTGAATATTAAAATGGTATAAAATACCAACAGGTTGTTGGGTAAGACACATATGCAACAGTTAGGTATCTTTATTTCGAAACGTTTCGCCTAAACAGTAGGCTTCTTCAGTCGAGTACAGAAAAGTTGATAGAAGCAGAAGAGACTTGAAGACGATGTAATCAGTCCATCACCCTTGAAGTTTTGAGGTGGTCAGTCCCTCAGTCTGGAGAAGAGTATTGTTCCATAGTCTGAAACAATATGGAGTTATATACCGCCTGGAGGTGAGATGTAGGCCACAACTCCATATTGTTTCAGACTATGGAACAATACTCTTCTCCAGACTGAGGGACTGACCACCTCAAAACTTCAAGGGTGATGGACTGATTACATCGTCTTCAAGTCTCTTCTGCTTCTATCAACTTTTCTGTACTTGACTGAAGAAGCCTACTGTGTAGGAGAAACGTTTCAAAATAAAGATACCTAACTGTTGCATATGTGTCTTACCTATCATCCAAACTGGACCCTGGAACTGGGCACATACTAGACACCAGTTCTTGGTTATCAACGTAGTCCACTCCCACCGAGGCAGGGCGATCTGAAAAAGAAACACTTTCACCATCATTCACTCCATCACTGTCTTGTCAGAGGCATGAGTCCATATTACAAATGAACAATGCTAAACCAGTATAGGTTATTCAACAAGTATAAACCTGGACACAGTAGAGAATTTTGCATATTCTAGGTAATTCACAAACTCCAACTTGGTCTTACTTTTGAGACCCAGTCAACAAAATCACACTTATATAAATTTTAAGACTGCTTTCACTGAACTCTATTTTTTTTTATTTTGCCTGCACTACCCATCCCTCAATATTTTTTTTTTTTTATTTTTTTATTATCACACCGGCCGATTCCCACCAAGGCAGGGTGGCCCGAAAAAGAAAAACTTTCACCATCATTCACTCCATCACTGTCTTGCCAGAAGGGTGCTTTACACTACAGTTTTTAAACTGCAACATTAACACCCCTCCTTCAGAGTGCAGGCACTGTACTTCCCATCTCCAGGACTCAAGTCCGGCCTGCCGGTTTCCCTGAATCCCTTCATAAATGTTACTTTGCTCACACTCCAACAGCACGTCAAGTATTAAAAACCATTTGTCTCCATTCACTCCTATCAAACACGCTCACGCATGCCTGCTGGAAGTCCAAGCCCCTCGCACACAAAACCTCCTTTACCCCCTCCCTCCAACCCTTCCTAGGCCGACCCCTACCCCGCCTTCCTTCCACTACAGACTGATACACTCTTGAAGTCATTCTGTTTCGCTCCATTCTCTCTACATGTCCGAACCACCTCAACAACCCTTCCTCAGCCCTCTGGACAACAGTTTTGGTAATCCCGCACCTCCTCCTAACTTCCAAACTACGAATTCTCTGCATTATATTCACACCACACATTGCCCTCAGACATGACATCTCCACTGCCTCCAGCCTTCTCCTCGCTGCAACATTCATCACCCACGCTTCACACCCATATAAGAGCGTTGGTAAAACTATACTCTCATACATTCCCCTCTTTGCCTCCAAGGACAAAGTTCTTTGTCTCCACAGACTCCAACAACCTTTTAAAACTGCTAGAGGGTGCTAAATTCATATATTTTGTTGAAAACACTCATGAAAAGCAAGCCTGTTTTTCTTACTTAGAAACTATCCAGCCCCTTCAGGAGGGAGATGCACCAGATTTTCAATAACATTGGATAATTATATTTACCCTAGGTAGTAGGTTGGTAGACAGCAACCGCCCAGGGAGGTACTACCGTCCTGCCAAGTGAGTGTAAAATGAAAGCCTGTAATTGTTTTACATGATGGTAGGATTGCTGGTGTCCATTTTTCTGTCTCATGAACATGCAAGGTTTCAGGTACGTCTTGCTATTTCTACTTACACTTAGGTCACACTACACATACATGTACAAGCATATATATACATACATACCCCTCTTGGTTTTCTTCTATTTTCTTTCTAGTTCTTGTTCTTGTTTATTTCCTCTTATCTCCATGGGGAAGTGGAACAGAATTCTTCCTCTGTAAGCCATGCGTGTCGTAAGAGGCGACTAAAATGCCGGGAGCAAGGGGCTAGTAACCCCTTCTCCTGTACATGTTACTATATGTAAAAGGAGAAACTTTCGTTTTTCCTTTTGGGCCACCCTGCCTCGGTGGGATACAGCTGGTGTGTTGAAAGAAAGAATTATATTTATGGTACCTTTGTCTTGTACATTCATTTTTAAAGAATAAAAAGGTAAAATTTAGGTAGCAGGTTGGAAGACAGCAACTGCCCAGGGAAGTATTACCGTCCTGCCAAGTGAGTGTAAAACTAGAACAGCAACAGATCACAGCTGAGGAAATTGCTTCAGAGAAGGAGGAAGAGAGAGTGGAGAATGTGCCTTCGTCAGTGATAGGGACTTGATACCTGAAGTCCTTATGGAGGGGGATTCCCCTTCCAATCAATACCCTCTGCCCTCCTCGTGTCTTCCATATGCCAACAAGAGTCGTCAGTAAAGGTGAAAGTGATATTAAATGTTCATTTATCCATTTCATTAGTTCTTTATATTTATTTCTCATTGTTTTCTGTATGTAAAACTATAGTTATTCTCTATAAAATGTATTTTTTGTTAATACTTTTGGGTGTCTGGAACGGATTAATTGGATTTACATTATTTCTTATGGGAAACGTTGCTTCAGTTTTCGTCAGACTTTCTGGAACGAATTAATGACGAAAACCAAGGTTCCACTGTATCTACTTTACACTAATTTTCTCCACAATGATGATTGCTGGATAATTGACGAGCTACTGTACAATGCAATTTTTCTTAATTTTGAATTAATTTTGTTGATACAGCATTATATTAAATTTTGATCACCTCAAAACTGCCTACCCATTAATTTTTTAAGTATTTTTTAACACATCAACTGCCTCCCACCGAGGCAGGGTGACCTGAAAAAGAATTAATTATAATCATGGGGAACTGCTAAACCTGTAGGATTATACAGCGCATGTGGGGGGGGGGGCATGGAAGGTATTCAGACTCAATTCTGGGAACCAGAGCATAGATCCAATTCCCTAGATCAAGAGCCCCTCACCAGCGTCAAGGAACTTCCCTTGAGGGGCCCGAAAAATAAGAAACAATAAACTCTTCTTTTTTTGGGTCACTACATTCTGGTTTACAATTAGGAGAGAATAATTTGGTGGCTTGGTTGTCTCACTATAAGTGGATGAAGATTCAAGTCTTCACCATACCTCTCACAGAAAAAATGACTCATAAGGTTTAGCACTCTTCAAAAAATATTTAAAGTATCTACTTTCTTTAACTGTATTATAGAGAAGAAAGATTATCAACAAATGGAATAAAACTCATAAGGATACTTGTTTAATCTATTTATTTAAATTTTATTATTCCATAACTATGTGTATGAAGAAATTCAGTTGTGTTGAAGAAGACAAATGTCTCCATTAATAAAGATTAGGCTCCTAAAGCATTATGAGACACTGATAACATATTTTATTACTGCATTGCAAAGCCTGTAAAGCTGAAATAAAGCTGATAAGCAAGATGATCAGGCTAACAAAGTGTGACTGTAATTAAGTGCATTCACACAAAGTGAAATTTAATATTCAAGCAACATAAAGTACGTACATTTATTGCAATGCCTTTTTTTAATACTTTTTTAAATACTTTTAGAAACCCACAATTATAGCACCATAATAAAAATAGTCTTTCATAATTTTTAGATAAAGCAGCAAATTTTCTATATACCATTCAATGTAGAAGTTTTCATTTTCAAGTGTAATTGAAATACAGTGGACCCCCGCATAACGATCACCTCCGAATGCGACCAATTATGTAAGTGTATTTATGTAAGTGCGTTTGTACGTGTATGTTTGGGGGTCTGAAATGGACTAATCTACTTCACAATATTCCTTATGGGAACAAATTCGGTCAGTACTGGCACCTGAACATACTTCTGGAGTGAAAAAATATCGTTAACCGGGGGTCCACTGTATTTTCATAGATGACCTATGTTTTTATGAAATATGAGAATTTTTGTAATACAGTTTTTTAGGACTGCACTATTTTTAAATATGCATTAATGTACAATTAAAATTACTAATAAAAGATACCTTAAATAAATAAACAATGCATCAACAAATATACTTGTCATGAAGCAACCACATATGGGTTACTAAATAGTATTAAATCATGAACAATAATGTTAGTTTCTTCTTATTATCTGTTAGTATTTTCTTCAGATTCTGCACTGCCTCGTCTCATTAACTCCAACATCTCCTGGATGTATCCTTCTTCCTCCTGAAGAGAGAAATTTCAGTTATAAAATATTCACCCTGTACAATTTTCTTTTTCTGTAAGCTAATAAATAATACTGATTATAAACAGAGTAGGAATGAATAACTAAAGAAAATGTAATGAATACTTGTCAGTTCTCAATAATAGCCCACATGGAAACAGAAACTCAGGAAATTATTGGATCTGTATACAGTGGACCCCCGGTTTGCGATATTAATCCGTTCCTGAGAGCTCATCGTAAACCAAAATTATCGAGAAGCGAATCAATTTTCCCCATAAGAAATAATGGAAATCAAATTAATCCATGCAAGACACCCAAAAGAATGAAAAAAAATAATTTTACTACATGAAATATTAAGTTTAATGCACACAAACTGAAGAAGACATGCACAGTTTGTAGTAGTACTCTACTAACAATAGAATACATGACACTTACCTTTATTGAAGATCTGGTGATGACTGACGGGATGGGAGGGGAGAGTGTCGAACTTATTGTTTAGAAGGGGAATCCCCTTCCATTAGAACTTGAGGTAGCAAGTCCTTTTCCGGGTTACTTCCCTTCTTCTTTTAATGCCACTAATCACAGTTGCACCTATTGCAACAACAGCTTCCTTGATTGCCGTTTTCCTGGTCACTATAGTAGCAATGGGTAAATAACAAAAAGGCACAATACCGTGACTGGAACAATACACAAATAACCCGCACATAAAAGAGAGAAGCTTACGACGACGTTTCGGTCCGACTTGGACCATTGACAAAGTCACACTAACAGAGGTGGAGCAGGACGGCTATATATAGGCAGGAAGAGGTGGTAGTAGTAGTAGTAGTAGTACAAGAATTGTATATAATACCGACAGGATGAAATTAAGACACATGCACAATGCCCGGGCATCCCCATCATAGACGTTTCGCCATCCAGCCAGCCACTGGATGGCGAAACGTCCACAACAAAGACAACCAGACGCCGCACATGTGTCTTAATTTCAACAGTAGTTGTAATAGAAGAAGAAGAGGTAGTAGTAGTGGTAGTGGAAGAAGTGGGAAATAAGGAAGACGAGCCAGTCAAATACAAAGGAAGGGGAGCACTGCAAGAGAGCTAGATACCCACAGAGGGAGAGCAAGCGCACAGAGGTGCGTGAAAGGGGAAGTGGTGAAATAAAATAAATGAAGAAGGAACAGAAACACGAGACAGGAGAGAGAAAGACAACCCAGAGGAGAAAAGGAGAGAGGAAAGGGGAAGAGGAAGAAGAAAAAGAAAAAGAAAAAGTGAGGATTCAGGTTAAGTCATGGGTGTTCTGAAGTTTGGAGCATTTTACAATGTAGTGGGAGAGGAAGTCATCTACAGAGACGAAGCCAGGGCTAAGGTTCATACAAGGAAAGTTGTGTATTAGAGAGGATTCAACTAGACGGCGACTGTTCGAGTTGGAAGTAGGGAAGACAGTTTTAGCAGAAGACCAGTCAATAGGATGGCTATGATCTCTGACGTGACAGAAAAGAGCATTGTTAGTGTCGGCAAGCCTAACACTATTTTTGTGCTCCCTAAGTCTGTCAGAAAGAGATCGACCAGTTTCTCCGAAGTATTGAAGAGGACAGGAGGAGCAAGAAATAGAGTAGACACCAGGAACATCTGTAGAGGGAGGAGAGGTATGAACGAGATTAGTGCGAAGAGTGTTAGTCTGGCGGAAGGTAAGCTTAATGTCTAAGGGACGGAGAGAATTGTTGAGATTAGAAAGACCGGAAATGTAGGGAAGGCAGAGGATAGAAGAGTTCCCATGAGTAAAGAGTTTGGGAGAGAAGAAATTGCGTTTAGCACATGAGAGGGCAGAGTCTATGAAATGGGAAGGGTAGCCAAGACGGGAGAACGAATTATGAAGAGTGGAAATTTCTGCTGGAAGGAACTTTGTCAATGGTCCAAGTCAGACCGAAACGTCGTCGTAAGCTTCTCTCTTTTATGTGCGGGTTATTTGTGTAGCAATGGGTGACTGGGGTTTTGTATACAACCTGGCCAGCTCCAACACATGCACTCCACTTTTTTACTTTGCAATTATCTCTTTCTTCATTTCAATAGTCATTAGCACCCTTTTTCTCGAAGGGTTGGCACTAGAAGCTTTCTTGGGGCCCATGGTGACTTATTTTGCAGAAACAAGCACTAAAAACACTGTGATAATATGGAATGTACCGAATGTATCCTTAGATGCGAGCACACTGGCTGGCTTGTAAACACTGGCACACACGGGGCAGTTCAGGCTACACGTGGACACGTCTCGGACGAATCGCGTATACCGGGTTTTTTAACGTGAACTGAGGCAAAATTTTTGTGTTAAAATGTATCGAATACCGGATTTATCGGATACTGGTGCCATCGCAAACCAGGGGTCTACTGTATTTCGACCCCCTGCTGTCTTTGCAGAGGCACCCAGATATGACAGTTTATATGTCACTCCAAACAGTTAACACCCCAAACCCTCCCTTAAAGTGCAGGTATTGTACTTCCCACCACCAGGATTCAAGACCGGCTAACTGGTTTCTCTGATTCCCTTCACAAAATATTACCTTGCTTACACTCCAACAGCTCATCGGGTCTCAAAAACCATTTGTCTCCATTCATTCCTATCTAACATGCTCATTCATACCTGCTTCATGTCCAGGCCTCCTGCACACAAAACCTCTTTTACTTCTTCCTTCTATCCTCCTTCCCTCCACTACAGATTTATACACCCTCCAAGTCAACCTATTTTGCTCTATCCTCTCTAAACCAAATCACCTCAATAACCCCCTCTTCAGCCTTTTGAATAATACTTTTAGTAACCCCACACCTCCTCCTAATTTCCACACTATGAATTCTCTGCATAATATTTACACCACACATTGCCCTTACACACGACATCTCCACTGTCTCCAGCCTCTTTCTCACTGCAGCATTCACAACCTATATCAGTATCATATCACATATATACAGTGGACCCTCGACCAACGATATTTATCCGTTTCTGAGAGCTCATCGTTAGTCGAGTTAATTTTCCCCATAAGAAATAATGGAAATCAAATTTATCCGTTCCTGACACCCCAAAGTATTGAAAAAAGAATTTTTTACCACATGAAATATTAATTTTAATACACACAAACTGAAAAAGACGTGTACAATTACATGACACTTACCTTTATTGAAGATCTGGTGATGACTGATGGGATGGGAGGAGGGGAGTGTGTGGATGCTGTTAGTGTTTAGAAGGGGAATCCCCTTCCATTAGGACTTGAAGTGTCAAGTCCTTTTCCGGGGTTACTTCCCTTCTTCTTTTAACCCTTTGAGGGTCAACAGACCCTCCCCGAGACTTGTTCTCAGGGTCGGCCAAATTTAAAAAAAAAAAAAAAAAAAAAAATTTCTTATTAAAAGATAGAGAATCTTTTCCCGATCATAATGACACCAAAAGTATGAAATTTGATGGAAAACTTACGGAATTATGCTCTCGCGAAGTTAGCGGCCTCAACGATGTTTACGCATCGGCGATTTTGCCCACTTTGAGCCCTATTTTCGGCCAATTCCAGTGTACTAGGCAACAAAAATCATAACTATTTCTCTAGAACTCCATTTTTTCTATTGAATGAGTACAAGAAACCACCCATTTAGTGATTTCAACTAGCCAATACAGTGGTCAGAATTTAGCAATTTTGCCAATTTCACACAAATTTCAAAAAATGCCAATTTCCAAATAGGGTCCAGAATAAACAAGAAAGACATTCCTGGCACTAAAAAAAACATTTCCTCTGTTCGTTAGTCACATCCCCAGGCCCCTTTATATTTCTTTGGCTTTCCACTTTCAATTTTTATTCTTACAAAAAATAGAAGATTTACTGTTATGCAGACTGCTGCATTAGTGTAGAAATGGTATAAAAAAATATCAGCGCACTTGTGAAAGAAAATTAGACTCACCAGTTTACGTGTATTGGACGCTTGGCTTTATTTGTTTTTCTTTTGAAACCCTTTTGGTAAAAATTGAACATTTCTGCTACTTTGAGCTCAATTTCAAGGTACTTTTCCTTGTAAAACCAGTCAAAATCATCTCAATTTCTGTAATATGTCTTCCATTCTATAAAATGAGACCAAGAAAACTAGAATACAACAATAAATACCATACGAAAATACAGTGCAAAGTCTTTGTTTTATTCCAAAAACATGGTCAAAGTTTTTTTTTTCTCATTATGCACTGTGTGCTGCAGAATTTTTTTTATACTGAGCACACTGACCACATAGACCCATTCTTTCATATGTATGCCTACCAGCTTTCTCCCACTAGATTTGAGGGCGCTAGAATTTAGGCGTACTAGTACATCAAAAACCCTGGGTCATAAGCCGTACTAGTACAGCCGAAACCCTCAAAGGGTTAATGCCACTAGGACCAGCTTGAGAGTCACTGGACCTCTGTCGCACAACATATCTGTCTATAGAGCTCTGTACCTCCTGTTCCTTTAAGACTTTCCTAAAATGGGCCATAACATTGTCAGTGTACAGGTTGCCAACATGGGTTGCAGTAGCTGTGTCAGGGTGATTTTCATCAAAAAAGGTTTGCACTTTAAGCCACATTGCACGCATTTCCTTAATCTTTGAAGTAGGCAACTTCCTCAATTTCTCTATCCCCTCCTCCTGAGCAGTTTCCTCAGGTCTGGCCTCTTGCTGTTGAAGATGATCTTGCAGCTCATCAGTGGTTAGTTCATCATTGTCGTCCTCCACCAATTCTTCCACATCCTCCCCACTAACCTCCAACCCCTTAGCAATGATCTCTCTTCATATCCATAGTAATTCTCACCCTTTTTGCTGTAGGGTTGGCACTAGAAGCTTTCTTGGGGCCCATGGTGACTTATTTTGCAGGAGCAATCACTAAAAACGCTGTGATAATATGAATTGTTCTGATTGTATGTTTGGATGGGACCGCGGTGGCTGGCTGGCTTGTAAACACTGGCCACAAGTGGACGCGTCTCGAACGGAACGAATAGCGTTGGTCGAGCTTTTTAGCACTAGTCGAGGCAAAATTTTTGCGTTAAAATGTATTGCTAGTCAGATGCCATCATTGGTCGAGGGTCCACTGTACTATATCGATTAATTTTCTGAGTTGCCGCCTCCCTTGGAGTTATTACAGAACACAGCAGTAATGCTCCATAATAAAGAAAATGTAGTTACAGTTTCCCAAGAACTCCAACTTAGGTCTTACTTTCATGCAGAACCGTTATTTGTCAACATTAAAGCTTTCTCTTGACTTGGAAATCATTCAGCTTAAACATTAAATCCAATACATGAAATTCGGATATCACATTTTTTTCTCTAAAGCATATTTGTGCAAAACATTTGTGAGTAAAAATTTCTGAATAAAACTTGCAATTTTATAACTTTTTTTTTTTTAGTGGTAAAGACTCACTCTTCAGACAATAATATCTCATTCAATGCAAGCATTGTAAAATAATTCATAACCTTAACTAAATCCACAATCTCATTATTACTGGTTCCTTTGCTGAATTACCGTTATCTAGTCTTGTCACAAAAGCTATTAAATTCTCCAATTTTCACCTGTATTCACTTATAAAATATTGTTAATTTATACCCTGCACCATTTAATATACAATATTTATTTTAACTGAAAAAAAAAAAAAAAAAAAAAAAAAAAAAAAAAAAAAAAAAAAAAAAAAAAAATTATTTTAACTGATGATATTAAAAATACTGTACATCATTTATGTATGTCTGTGTAGTGTTCAACAATCAATACTGAAAATGTAATATTCATATACTACACGTTTATAAAGCATGGATAAAATATATGAATCAGTGTTCAAATACAGTATACAGTATTGTGCTTAAAAAGTAAACCTTACTTCCAGTTCTTCTTTGCCTTTGATATCTTCTAATCTAGATGTCAAAATCTGTGAAACATTCAGTTCTGGTCTCAGGCACTCAGCTAGGGCAGGGGGATAAGAGGATGCCAAATTAAGGAGAGCTGCTGTACAATGTTCTCGGGAAATATCATCAGAGTTTTCATTGCTCAGTAGTGTCAACAACTGCTCAACAAATCCCATTGAAAGTGCTGTGGCTGAAAAAAAAAAATGACCTTAAGTTATACTGTATGTAAAGTAAGTGACAAATGCAATAAGTAACTTGTACAAAAAATAAAAAGCACAGCCTCCAAACTTTTTTAAGTAAGTAGCACTGATTATGCTAATTCACTCTGAAGTGCAAAACATCCAGCTGTAATGTTCTTATCCCCAGTAACTTTCTGTACCATCTTCACTTTATTTACTCTAAACACTTCCTTTTAATTTTATACTGTTTATTTTGCATGCAAATGGCAGTACATGTATTTTTTAATCTCTGAAACACCCAACATGAATACAAACTGTACCTATATTTTATTAACTGCTTCCTCCTTAGTTTGCTACCAAGGATAGTAGGTTTTATAATTTCTAAAATTCATGTTACTATGCAAGTATTTTTGAGCTATTGGAAAGCTAAGAATTAAAATTTGTAAGTTTATAATTTAATCAATTAATGTTACTCAATTTTACAATAAAGATTTGTGAAATATTTTATACAAGAAAACAATTTAGAAAAATTTCAATCTTCATATTATTTCTTCTTTAAAGGTTTTACAAAATTGAAGAAAATATTTTTCCCTAAGATAAAGAAACCTACTAACTATTATTGACTCACAAAATCACAACATGATTACAAAGAAACCACAGAATGGGTGGGGCTTGAACTTATGGCAAGTGAGTCGTAAAACTCCATGTCAGTGGCCTGGAGTTTTACGACTCACCTGCCATGGGTTTAAACCCCACCCTTTCCATGGTTTATTTAACTACTGTTATTAATTAACTAAGTATGATTATGGACTTACCCTTGTGTGAATCATTCTTTCTAAAGAAGTTGGTTAAAATAAATGCAGATTTAACGACCAATTTTTCCACATCTGATTGCATTGCACGCATTAAGTATGATAAACCATCGGTTTTAAGAAACTGCTCTTCTCCTTTAGGGCAGTGTCGAATAAGACCTTCCAAAAATGAAAAGAATATTAATACATTTAAAAACAGAGTATTTGTGTATGACTACCTATACATTATTTTAGCTTACAGGGAGTGAGTTTCAATTTTTGGTCCTGCCTCTTAAATTCTGACCAACCTGAAATACAGTATTCATATACTGTAAGTTTTTTTTTTTTTTTAATAAGTCGGCCATCTCCCATCGAGGCAGGGTGTATCATATTTAATGATGTTCATACAGCCATACTAAGTAAATTTATGCTAAGCTTTGGTTGGGTAGGTTTATGCTACTGTAGTTTGTAACTAAATGAGTTTTGGATGAAAAAAAAATGTATACCATACATACTTGCACTCTAATAATGAATGTAATGCATGGCATCCAAGTAGTGGTATTTAATTTATAAGCAAAATTTCAGTCTCAGCAGAAATTACAGTATTTTTTTCTTTCAGTGATTTCCACATTTTCAAATAAAGCATAACTTAATACAGTATTTTTCTTCTCCTTCTTTCAACAAACCAACCACATCCCACGAAGGCAGGGGGTCCCAGAAAGAAAAACAAAAGTTTCTCTTTTTCTTTCATTTCTTTCAACAAACTGGCCATATCCCACCAAAGCAGGGTGGCCCAAAAATAAAAACAAAAGTTTCTCTTTTTAACTCTGATAATGTATACAGAAGGGGTTACTAGTCCCTTGCTCCCGTCATTTCAGTCACCTCTTACGACAAGCATGACTTATGGAGGAAGAATTCTGTTCCACTTCCCCATGGAGATAAGAGGAGATAAACAAGAACAAGAACTAGTAAGAAAATAGAAGAAAACCCAGAGAGGTGTGTATATATATGCTTGTACATGCATGTGTAGTGTGACCTAAGTGTAAGTAGAAGTAGCAAGACATATTTTAAAACTAGCAAGTTTCTTTCCTTCTTTCAACACACCGGCCGTATCCCACTGAGGTGGGGTGGCCCAAAAGGAGAAACGAAAGTTTCTCCTTTTAAATTTAGTAAATATACAGGAGAAGGGGTTACTAGCCCCTTGCTCCCGGCATTTTAGTCGCCTCTTACGACACGCATGGCTTACAGAGGAAGAATTGTTCCACTTCCCCATGGAGGTAAGAGGAAATAAATAAGAACAAGAACTAGTAAGAAAAATAGAAGAAAACCCAGAGGGGTGTGTATATATATGCTTGTACATTTATGTGTAGTGTGACCTAAGTGTAAGTAGAAGTAGCAAGACGTACCTGAAACCTTGCAAGTTTATGAGACAGAAAAAAGACACCAGGAATCCTACCATCATGTACAACAATTACAGGCTTCCATTTTACACTCACTTGGCAGGATGGTAGTACCTCCATGGGTGGCTGCTGTCTACCAACCTACTACCTACTACATACTTAATATTTAAGCCTCTGAATAATACATTGAGAACTTTACTCTTTAAGTTGCTAACAAATCAAAATTATGAATTTGTGGCACATGCCATCAAAATATAGAGTACAGTACTGCATCTTGTATAGACAGAAATTCTAAACATCCACTAAAATCAAATGGAATAACAAATTAAAAGATGATGAATATATTTGGCATGCTTACCTTCCACAGAGATACCACAGAGATATCACTGTTTTGCTTTTGGCAAGACAGTGATGAAGTGAGTGACGATTGAAGTTTTTTTTTTTTCGGGCCACCCTGCCTTGGTGGGAAATGTTTGATGTGTTAATAAAAAAAATATTTAATGTTGACCCACAACCTAAATTAACTTACATGATACAGCATACATAGCCTTGACTCTTGCTTGGTTATCCTCATCTGTGTCTATCATATGAAGCAGTACGGGCATAATGTTTAGTGACAGCATATTTTCTTGACAATTTAAGTAATTTTGACATATATCTCCAATCAAACCAGCAGCACCAGTACGAAGTGATGTGTGAGGGGAATCCAAGCATTTCATCAAAATGGGAAAACCGCCTAGTTTTTGGAGGTCTGAAAAATACAAAAATACGCATCAATAGTTACTTTCATCAGCCTAAATCCTTTGCGAACAACACCCACCACAGTCAAGTGTACACATACAAAGTTGCATTTCTGTCCTGAATATAGCTCAATTTAAAATATTTGTTGAAAAAAAACATACTGCATTAATAGTAAATTACAATTTTTTTTAAATAATTACTAATTTGACTGTAGATAATAAGTAAAATGGCACATCATGAAAGGTGAAACAATAGGCCACACACACCTGAAATCATTGTCATTTTATCTAAAACTGAATATGTCATGTACTTTAGCCTAATTTAACATAAATAAGCCAAAATTTACTTAAATCTAAATAAACCTAAAAAAAACCCAACCAATGTATAAGTGGTTAGATAAGTACTCAAATCACTTGGTAAGTGGACATCAGAAAACCAGCATTAATAAGGTTCATTATCGATGGCATTACATGGTATTTCATTATATATTTTTCTATCATACATTTCAGGCAGATTTAACATTGTGTTCTGAGCACCTCTGCAAAAACAGTGATTATGTGTGAGTGAGGTGAAAGTGTTGAATGATGATGAAAGTATTTTCTTTTTGGGTCACCCTGCCTCGGTGGGAGATGGCCGACTTGTTAAAAAAAAAAAAAAAAAAACTATAAAATTACATAGATTATATTACAGAAATGTTAGTGAGAATTTAATGAATTTATAGAGAATAGGAGAAAAGACCAGCAATCCCACCAAGGCTCAAAACTTTTAAAAAGGTTGCATTTTGCATTCATTTGAAAGGTCAGTAGTACTGTACTACTTCCTAGGATGGTTGCTATCTATCTGCCTATGTCATCACTGGAAAGTTTGCATGCTGCCTTACCAAGCACCATTTTACTGATAAAGTGCAATGCTACATTCTTGAATAGAAACATTGTAATTACGTATTTGGAAACTCTTGACAAGGAAAGTCAATTAATAATATCTGTCAAAGGCTCTGCTATGAATTTAACAGTGTTAACAGTTAGAGCAGGGTAAATGGTCAAACAGTGAATATAAAGCCATTTAGAATACAGCAAAACAAGAATTATGGAAGCAGAGTAAACTGAATAAAAATATGAAAATGAAAACTTGTGTGTTCCTCCTAGGAGCATAAATGGAACATGAAAATTATGAAATACTACTGCACTGAATAATGGTATTACACTGTATGACTAAACACCATTACCTACCTTCAGCATGATTAAGGTCATCAACATATTCCTCAATGATCTCTATGGCTCTCTCTTGCTCTGTGACATCTTCACCAGGCATTGTTACAGATTCACTGCATAGTGCTTTCAGAGCATCTGCCAACCTCTTGACCACATCCACTGTCATTGAATTTAGAGCTTCCTCCAGAAAAGATCGACGCTGAAAAGTTAAAAATGGCACAAATTATTATTATGGAAACATCAGATATTTCTTTCTTTCAACACACCGGCCGTATCCCACCGAGGCGGGGTGGCCCAAAAGGAAAAACGAAAGTTTCTCCTTTTACATTTAGTAATATATACAGGAGAAGAGGTTACTAGCCCCTTGCTCCCAAACATCAGATATATGTGATGCAAAAATCTAAAAATGAACAGAGGGACATACCCATTACAAGTGAAACAGTTAAGAGGGATATTGAAATTAATGCATCAGGATGGATGAACTTAAGTTTAACATTATTAAAGTACCATCTGACTAATTACATACACCAAGAGTATAAATTATTGTAAAAACCAACATTAGTTTAGGAGGATAGGTTGCATAAATGATGTACTGTATTATACTGGATACATTCATACTGTACTCACATACATATTTTCAAATTTTTATTGACATGTTCACATACATTCATTTACGTTATCCATGGAGGCAAAGAAGGGACTGTACGAAAGTATAGTGGTACCAACACTCATCTATGGGTGTGAAGCTTGGGTTGCAAATGCTGCAGCAAGGAGGCAGCTGGAGGCAGTGGAGATGTCCTATCTAAGGGCAATGTTTGGTGTAAATATTATGCAGAGAATTCGAAGTGTGGAAATTAGGAGGAGGTGTGGAGTTACTAAAAGTATTAGTCAGAGGGCTGAAGAGGGGTTGTTGAGGTGGTTTGGTCATTTAGTGAATGGAGAATGTACAAATCTGTAGGTGAAGGAAGGTGGATTAGGAGTCGTCCTCGAAAAGGTTGGAGGGAGGGGGTAAAGGAGGTTTTGTGGGTGAGGGGCTTGGACTTCCAGCAAGCATGTGTGAGCGTGTTAGATAGGAGTGAATGGAGACAAATGGTTTGTGGGACCTGATGAGCTGGTGGAGTGTGAGCAGGGTAATATTTAGTGAAGGGATTCAAGGAAACTGGTTACATGTATTTTTATATAGCCGGACTTGAGTACTGGAAATGGGCAGTACAATGCCTGCACTTTAAAGGAGGGGTTTGGGATATTGGCAGTTTGGAGGGGTATGTTATATATGCTCTAAACTGTTGTATCTGGGTGCCTCTGCAAAGACAGTGATTATGTGTGAGTGAATGATGATGAAAGTATTTTTTGGGGGGGATTTTCTTTCTTTTTGGGTCACCCTGCCTCAGTGGGAGATGGACGACTTGTTGAAAAAAACAAAAGTTCATATAGTATATGGATACTGTATAAACATCACATACATACCTGTAATACTTTGCCTACCTCAGGATCCATTCCTTGAAACCGTGAAGGTCCTGTTGTATCTTCTCTTGCCGTTATTTCCGTACAGAAGTTTAGGAGCCCTTGCAGGTTCCGTGGCCTATTATCCCTGGCTCCCTCATTGCTATCTTGTCCATCCGACATATTGACTGGAATAAGAAATACAGTACAATATAAATTTTTAGGTCATCCTGAACTAAGATCTACCAGCATTATGCTACATGGATAAAAAAAATAAAAATATATACGTATATATATATATACTTAATGATAAAAACTCTGATAAACATTCATATAATAAAATCTTACTTAACCCTTTGAGGGTCCAAGCCATAGATCTAAGCTTTGTCCACAGGGTCCAAGAATTTAAAAAAAAATATATCTTTTATTATGATATTTAAGAGAATCTTTTTCCAAAAGTACGAAATCTGACGGAAAATTTATGAAATTACGTTATCGTGAAATTTGCATTGTGAGCGGTATTTACACATTGGCAATTTTGCCCATTTTGACGCCTATTTTAGGCCAATTACATTGCTCCAGTCGATCAAATTCTTAGCTATTTCACTAGTATGCCTTCTATTTTATCGACTGAGCACAAGAAACAGCCAATCCCCTATTTCAACTACTCAATAAAGTGATCAGAAATTGGTAATTTGGCCAATTTCACATAAATTTCAAAATATTCTAATTTCAAAACAGGGTCCTGAATAATCAATACAGACATTCCTGGCACTAAAATAACATTTTTCTCTGTTCATTAATTACATTTCCAGGCTTTACACATGAATTCCATTTTTATTTTTTATTCACACAATGAAGTTTTATTCACTCCCAAAAATAGAAGATTTACTGTAATGCAATAGTGTAATACATGTATAAATATTATCAGTGCATTAGTAAATGCATATTAGGCCCACAGTTGATGTGTACTGGATGCGTGATGTGGTTTGTTTACTCTTGAACATCAGCAAAAATCAATCATTTCTGCTACTTTGAGTTCAATTTCAAGGTACTTCCCATCCTAAAACCAATCAAAATCATCTCTATTTCTGTAATCAATTCTATCAAATGAGACCACAAAATCGTGAATACATCCATGAAAACCACATGAAAATACACTGCAAAGTTGCTGTTTTAAACCAAAAACATAGTCACTTTTTTTTTCTCATTATATGCTGTGAGCTGCAGGATTTTTTATATGGTGCACACTTACCACATAGATGCATTCTCTCATATCTAGGCCCATATTTACTGCTCACAGCTTATTTGAATGAGCTGAGCTCATCACATAGTACTATGGCACAGATCCTGGCTTTAAACCCGTAGAACAATGGCATGGACCCTCAAAGGGTTAAGATATGATTTGTTAGGATTTTTAACCCAGAGGGTTAGCCACTCAAGATAGTCAGTGCATCATCAAGGACTGTTATTCTCAGTTAAACATGGTACATTTTCAATACCAATACTGTATACTTTATTTTGAAGGTAGGTAGACAAGCATGAGAAGATTAATATTATATAGTATTTATTGGGAAATGCCCAACCCACAGGTGTTATAAAGCACCTGGGAATAAAAGGTAATCATATTTAATCCAAGAAAGGAGAGTATAACTTAAACTCCTGTGATTAAGATCCCTTGACCATCATCAAGGCACCCACCCATGAAGGGGTAGCCATACATGACATGAAAATGACAACTTGCAGTTTATGTCAATCATCATATTTCAAGACCAAACCTAAAGAAATTTTCTGTAGGAATGTTCATAATCTTTGGTAAAACATATGTATTTGTGAATAAATTTTATGTATACAAGATGAAAATTCTAAGGTCAAAACTTACTGATGAACATTTGCACAAAATTTAAGAATGTGAGCACAAACACTAAATTTAATGTTCATGCTCTATTTACTAAACTGCAACTGCAATCAAGATTAAGTAAATAAGAAGTACTCACCTAAATTTGGTTGTTGTGCATGCTATGATTATCTATCACATCTGATTATCTATCAGTCACATCAATTCAGATGTGACTGAACATTAAAAAACTGTTATATTCAATTGCATTATATTATATATTTATAACTTATTTTCTTATGTGATTTAGCTGTTTTATGCTAGGTCTCATTATTCTTTCAAGATAATAAAATATGACTGAAAATATAGAGTGAATATTTTAGCTGCTGTGTTTTTTATAATGAAAACCCTACAATATTAAAATAAGACTGTGCAAAAGAGACAGCTATAATTTTGGCTTATGGGGAAAAAATTAGGCTAAATTGAACTGTTGCTGACTTCAGGGGGCACCCTACAAATTAATCTTTTATTTTCATTTCTATAACACAAGCAATCAATCCAAAGCCCAGGAAAACAGTTATTTCTTTGTGATTTTTGGGGGGGGAGGTGATGGGAAAATATTAGTTATTGTATTACTAAATGCAAAATTAGAAAAACTTTACAGATTTCTTCTTTATTGAGTCGCCCTGCCTTGGTGGGAAACAACCGGTATGTTGAAAAAAAAATTACATAATGATTTTTAAAAGGTACAATGCACTGTATATGGTAAAATATACACCATGCCAATCAGTGCATGACTCGCTGGTCTGGCGAGGCAAACAATTCCAACATTTGAGATCTGATTCCTAAGTATGTCCTGGATTGGGCTGGGTAAATTTGTTTCAATAGTTAAATAAAAGTCGTTTTAAATATCTCTTCTTGAGACAAAAAATATCCAGAATCTTTGTTTTTCCAATTTAGACAAAATAAAATTAGCTACATTGCACAAACCAACCAATACCTGGAGTTTACCTGGAGAGAGTTCCGGGGGTCAACACCCCCGCGACCCGGTCTGTGACCAGGCCTCCTGGTGGATCAGAGCCTGATCAACCATTGAACTATTGAATTCTTGTGAAACTCAATGGAGCCCCTAAACACAATATTTACCAAAGCTTATTTTTGGTCACAAAAAAATCTATATTTAATCCAATTTTTGGTCACAAAAAAATCTATATTTAATCCAATTTTTGGTCACAAAAAATTCTATATTTAATCCAATCTAACCTAACCTAAAATTTAACTCAAAATCTAGGTGAGGTGAGGTTATATAGGGCTTCTTTTTCATTTTTTGGCACCACACACACAAAAAAAATTTCCTCTCATAAGCCCAAAATAAAATGTCTCCATTGCACAACCCACCTAATATAGGAGAAGTTACATAATAACCCATAATTAAACTGAAACATGGGCAGCTAAAGTATATAATTACCAAAGATAAATTGTGTTACACTTATGTTAATTAATTATTGAAAATTATGGTTATTTAGATAATAAGTAATTTTTAGAAGAGCTGCACTAACTTTGGTTCGGTCTTTTAGTTTATAAGGGAATACTTAAAGTTACTGATATGTCAATGAAGCTAATACGTTAATTTACCTTCTGCTTCAAAGTGCGGCCCTAAACATACATTTAACTACCTTGTATGTTTATTTTGGTACAGGTACACATAAGTACAATTATCATACATAGTGTAAATTACCTAGGATAACCAAAAGAAGAGTCAAATTGATTTATTTCCACTGGGGTCTTTGGGGGACTACTACCCTAGGTGTTTGTGTATTTATTTATTTATTTATTTATTTATTTATTTAGAAATTTGAGCACACATACAGAGGTACAAAAAATACAGATAAGAGCAGCATGCCAAAGCCACTTATACTATGCATAGCATTACGGGCTGGCTTAAAATTAACTTAAGATTAACTAAGCAATGATGATATCAGTGATAAAACTTTAATGTAAACAGATTACTATAAAGCACGAGTGAGTATTACAAAGACAGGTCATATGGTTGTATGCATTGTTGTACATTCAGTAGAATGGAGTATTCTGTTAGGTAGTGTATTTAAAAAATAATAAAGTTAGATTGGGTTTTAGGTTTAACATTTATGTGATATAATTGTGAGAAACATTTAAGATATACAATTTATAAGGTTCAGTTATTCAGTATTTATTTGGTTTTGGGTGAGTAAGTGATCTTTGAGAAGAGACTTGAATTTATAAAAAGGTAGTGTTTCTTTTATATTTACAGGTAATGAATTCCAGATTTTAGGGCCTTTTATGTGCATTGAGTTTTTGCATAGCGTGAGATGGACACGAGGTACATCAAAGAGTGATCTGTGCCTTGTGTTATGGTCATGTGTTCTGTTGAGGTTGGCAAGGAGATGTTTGAGGGGAGGGTTAATATCAGAGTTAAGTGTTCTATGTATGTAATAGGTGCAGTAATAAGTATGGATGTTTTGTATGGTGAGTAGGTTTAGTGTATTGAATATTGGTGGAGTGTGCTGCCTATAGTGAGAATTTGTTATCATTCTAACTGCAGCCTTTTGTTGGGTAATTAGTGGTCTGAGATGGTTACTTGTTGTTGAGCCCCATGCACAAATTCCATAGGTGAGATAGGGGTAAATAAGAGAGTGATATAGGGCCAGGAGGGCTGACTGTGGAACATAGTACCGTATCTTCGATAGTATGCCTACAGTCTTGGAAATTTTCTTAGAAATTTGTTGTATATGTGTATGAAATTTGAGTCTATTATCAAGGTGGATTCCTAGGAATTTTCCCTCTGTTAGCTTTGTGATAGGTGACCCGTTTATCATTATGTTAAGAGGGACATCTGTAGCTCTGTTACCAAACTGAATGAAGTAGGTTTTGTCAATGTTTAGTGTAAGTTTGTTAGTCCTCATCCAGGTAGATATTTTCTGTAATTCGGTATTTACAGTATTGGCTAGCGTGACTGGGCTCGGGTGGGAGAAGACGTATGTAGTGTCATCTGCAAATAGTGTGGGGTTTGAGTAATTGCGAAGCATTTGGTAGGTATTTATGTATAGGAGAAAGAGAAGAGGGCCAAGGACACTTCCTGTGGACACCAACTGTAATTGGTTGTGCAGAAGAGTTTGCCCCATTTGCATACACATATTGGCTTCTGTTGCTGAGGTAAGACTTGAGGTAGTTGAGGGAGTGCCCTCTTATACCATAGTGTGACAATTTTACGTGGAGCAAGTCATGGTTAACTGTATCAAAAGCTTTACGTAAGTCAATGAAGATCCCCAGTGGGACTTCTTTTTTCTCTATTGCAGTGTATATATGTTCTAGCATGTGTATAATAGCATCATTAGTATTTTTATTTGGCCTGAATCCAAATTGGCAGGGGTTGAGTATTTTTTTGGGAGATAAGGTAGGGTAGATTCGTTTATGAATTATATTTTTCAAAGATTTTTGAGAGAGGGTGTAAGTTGGATATTGGCCTATAGTTATTCAAACTCTGTTTGGTCTCCTCCTTTGTGGATCGGGGTGACCCTTGCTATTTTGAGTACTGTTGGGAGGTGGAGGATTCAATGGATTTGTTAAAGAGTGTTGCAATGATTGGTGATAGCACTTGTGACACTTTTTTGTATATAAAGGGTGGTAAGGTATTTAAATCTCCTGCCTTGTTTTTTAGTGTGTTGATAATAAGGGAGACTTCGTATGGGTTAGTCGGAGCTAGGAACAGTGTGTTCGGGTAGTTGCCGGTGAGGTAGTCATTTGGTGGGGTATCTGAGCTTGGGATTTTATTGGCAAGGTTTTGTCCTATAGTGGAGAAGAAGTCATTGAGTCTGTTTGCTGTTTCTGTTGGGGGGAGTTGGGGTTCATCTGATTTTGCTAATTTTATTTCGCTATTTCGTGATATCTTTTTTGTTCCTAGAATTTCTGATAGGGTTTTCCAGGTCTTTTTTATATCACCTCGTAAGTTGGATAATCTGTTCTCATAATACAATTTTTTTGCCCTTCTTATCAGGCTGGTTAGGATTGACGAGTAACGTTTTGTTTGGTCTCTGGTTATGTGACCCATTCTGTACTGTTTTTCATATCGGTGTTTTGTATTTATGGATTTGAGAATGCTGGGTGTTAGCCAGGGACTGTTCAGTCTCTTAGCTGTCATCTGTTTAGTTTTTTTAGGGCAGTGCTTGTTATAGAGGTATTGGGTCTTTTTAGAAAATTATTAATACATTCGTCAATATCTGTATAGATTTCTAGCTCAGTGTGCCAGTCAATGTTTGCTACTGCTGTTGTGAAGTTATTAATGGCTGCCTCATTGTGAAGTCTGAAGGTGACTTTAGTAGTGTCTTGGGGTAATTTACCAAGAGTTGTTATGAGAAAAGTAGGGTAGTGGTCTGTGGTATTATCTGTAATTATGCCTGATTTTAAAGGGGATATGGTGTTGGTCCAGATGTGGTCAAGTAGGGAAACACTAGTCTCTGTAACTCTTGTAGGTTTTGTTACTGTTGGTAGCAACATACAGTTACTCATTGTGTTTGTGAATTCAGTAACGTGTGGGTCCTGGTCTTGCAGGAGATTTATATTGAAGTCACCTGAGAGTAGTAAGTGATCTTTGTTCATGCGTGCATCAGTATATACCATGCAGTGGCCTGTTATGTCAATTATAATGTATTCACACACATTAACAACGTAATAATAAAAAACGAAAAAATATATTAAGTTAACGTAATGATAACAGGAGACAATCTAGAAAATTCCAGAGGCCAAGCTAAATACCTTCTTTGGTGCCTTTGTTGTGGGTTTATAGGGCGACTCAGAGTTTACACCGCACCAAGCACTGTTGTGTTGCCTCAGCCACTAAAATGCCCTGACTTCGTCCGCTGTAAATAATGCATTAGAATAAGAATAAGAACTATATTTCAGTATATCAGAGTATAACAATTGAGTGTATATGCCAAAGGCCCTTATATATACAGAGCATTTCGAGCAAACTTAAGATTAATGTAAGATTAATAAATAAATAAAATAACTATTTCCTTGCAAAGCTTACAATGTGTGGTAAGGCAATAACAGCGCAATAAATTTGTACATATGGTCATCAGGTAAGTTTACAATGAATATAAGAGAACTGGATATTCTATTATTTCATATATAAACATGTAAGTGATTACTGACGAAATCTTAATAACACGATTGCAAATAAATCACGGTACGGGTGGAGACTCCACTGTAACTTGTTCAGCAATCAAAACTTTGCAACCCAGTCCCTGACCCATTATTTGTCTCTGCAGTCTTGAGACTACCGCCCACAGAATGGGTAGAGGGTGCACAATAGAGGTATTAAATTAACTAAGCTATTGTGTTCAGTCTGTGAACGGTAGGGCAAGTACCAGGATTACAGAGGTCACTATGGATCTTTGGCTGACCCCACCAGGCATAGTTATAATAATAATAATAATAATAATAATAATAATAATAATAATAATAATAATAATAATAATATCTTTATTTGCTACATGCACAAGGTATACAGTCCTAGCTGACATCAATGACATGCTACTACATAGAAAGTCGCTTGTTATGCAGAGCATTTCGGGTAAATTAGGTTAATTTTTGTCCCAGGATGCCACCCACACCAGTTGTTTAACACCCAGGTACCCATTTTATTGATGGGTTAACATGGACGGTAGATGCCTTGAGGAAACATGTCCTAATGTTTCCTGTCGTACCGGGTAATTAAACCCCGGACCTCAGTGTGTAAGCTAAGTGTGCTAGCGACCGAGCTATACATTATTAGAAAGAAATACTAGTCATTTCAGGTTTTATAATTATTTCATATAGTTGTTGCAAGTAGTACAGTATGGATACAATCTCATAAAATTAATGTGCAATTGCCACTAAAAATAAAACAATTATTTCATATAAGTGTACACAGTACAGTAACCTGGAGCTTGACCTGGAGAGAGTTCCGGGGGTCAACGCCCCCGCGGCCCGGTCTGTGACCAGGCCTCATGGTGGATCAGAGCCTGATCAACCAGGCTGTTACTGCTGGCTGCACGCAATCCAACGTACGAACCACAGCCCAGCTGGTCAGGTACCGACTTTAGGTGCTTGTCCAGTGCCAGCTTGAAGACAACCAGAGGTCTATTGGTAATCCCCCTTATGTATGCTGGGAGGCAGTTGAACAGTCTTGGGCCCCTGACACGTATTGTATTGTCTCTTAACGTGCTAGTGACACCCCTGCTTTTCATTGGGGGATGTTGCATCGTCTGCCGAGTCTTTTGCTTTCGTTGCGAGTGATTTTCGAGTGCAAGTTCGGTACTAATCCCTCTAGGATTTTCCAGGTGTATATAACCATGTATCTCTCCCGCCTGCATTATAAGGAGTACAGGTTCAGGAACTTCAAGCGTTCCCAGTAATTGAGGTGTTTTATCTCCGTTATGCGCGCCGTGAAGGTTCTCTGTACATTTTCTAGGTCAGCAATTTCACCTGCCTTGAAAGGTGCTGTTAGTGTGCAGCAATATTCCAGCCTAGATAGAACAAGCGACCTGAAGAGTGTCATCATGGGCTTGGCATCCCTAGTTTTGAGGTTCTCATTATCCATCCTGTCATTTTTCTAGAAGATGCGATTGATACAATGTTATGGTCCTTGAAGGTGAGATCCTCCGACATGATCACTCCCAGGTCTTTGACGTTATTTTTTCGCTCTATTTTGTGGCTGGAATTTGTTTTGTACTCTGATGAAGTTTTAATTTCCTCATGTTTACCGTATCGGAGTAATTGAAATTTCTCATCGTTGAACTTCATATTGTTTTCTGCAGCCCATTGAAAGATTTGGTTGATGTCCGCCTGGAGCCTTGCAGTGTCTGCAATGGAATAAGTAAGTAAGTAAGTAAGTTTATTCAGGTATACACAAATACAGTTACATAGAATTATCATACATAGCAGCATATGTGTAGAGAACCTAGGATAACCCAAAAAAGTCAGACAGAGCGACTTATTTCCATTGGGGTCCTTTTACCTTATTATTATAATATAAAGGTTATATTTTCTTATTATTCTACAATGAAGATAACATCTTATTATCATACTAAAAAGACTATCTACTACACCAAAGTCATTAAGACTATCTACAATACGAGGGTCATTACTAGGAATATGGTAAAATTTACACGTATGTTAGCTAAAAAATAAAAAATCATTCCCCTCCCTTTCTGTAGCTTCATTCATCAGACACTTTTTGGTACTCTTCTTGAACTGGTTCATGCTATGACTGGCTTTGACATGTGCGGGCGGTCTGTTCCATTCCTTTATTGCTGTACAATAAAAGGTGTTTGAAGCCTGGCCACTGACTGTGGGTACTACAAAGTTGTGCTCTCTCCCCCTAGTACTATGATTGCTTTGGTTCCCAACCTTGACAAAATTGACAGCAAGATATTCTGGACATTGTTTGTGAGCAATTTTATAAACATGATTTAGCTTCAGTTGTTTTACTCTGTCTTCAACATTCAGCATAACCAACTGCTGTAATTCATCCTGGCCTACATGTTCTCTTGGTCCCAGCCCCAGGATGAATCTTACGATTTTGTTCTGGGTGATTTGCAGTCTATCTTTCAGTTTTTTTGTCAAGGCAGAGTACCAAGAAGAACAAGCGTAATCCATATGGCATTGTATAAGGGCTAGACATAGGGTCCTGCGAGCCTCAGTAGGTAGACACTGTGCTTGTCTATACAGGAACTTCAGTCTGGCATTCGCTTTCTTTACTACACTGTTCCCTATCAATTCTCCTGACATGCATGGGTCAAAGGGGATTCCCAAATATTTTACTGATGAAACCAAAGTGATGGGCACTGTCATGCAGATTCGGGTGTCATCTGCAAAGGAAGACACGGTGCTGTGGCTGACATCCTTGTCTATGTCAGATAGTAGTAAGAAATACAATAAAAAAAATCTTATTACACTAAAATAAATTAGTCATAACTGTGTTACAATCTGTATAAAAACAGTGTATTCATCTAGTCGATGCGAAACGTGGATACAACCTCAAGATTTCAGATATCTTATCATTAATAGCGATGTGTTTTGTCAAATCCTGTAAGGTGTACATGGTAGTGTCTCTGAGAGGTTGGATGTTGAGACTCTCAGATATACTGTTCCAATGTCTCTGTCTCTGTCCATACACTGTGCATTTCGTGTCACTGGTACCTCCATACAAATCGTACTACCAGAGATACTATTTATGGTCCAATGGAAATAAGACAGACTCCTAGATGACGCACGCACTTTACTGGGTTATCCGAACAAAACATTATCTTATCTATATTAACATCAGTGATACTGATATTAAGGTCAATAGTAACAGTGGAGTTGTTAATATATTGTACTTTTATATATTTCTGTATTATTAGATTAGATTCAACCCAGTGTGTAAATACCTAATTTTATTCAGCCTCTGAATACTTCCAGCAGGACTAAAGTGCTTTAAAAGAATAACAATTCTTCTCTGGATGCGACATCCCTCAAGAGAGGTAGGTGCCTTGATGCCAGTGAGGGGGCTCGTGATCCAAGGAGTTGGATTTACCCTCTCCTTTCTTGAATCGAACCTGAATGCCACAAAGGCGAATTCCACTTGAGTAAAATAATAATAAAAAAATAATCCTCTGAATGCTATCCACAACAATCCCCAAGGGGACCAGGAACTGGAGATCAACATATTCAAAAGATTCAGTAGCTTTATCTCAAAATCCCCAGGAGATGTAGTTCAACATCCTGAAAATGCACAAGAACTATAGATCAGCATTCACAAGAGGCAGCAACTCTTGATCTAGTATAACCTGAGTGCTTTCCATATCCCAAGTGTTGCATCAGACATATAATAATAATAATAATAATAATAATAATAATAATAATAATAATAATAATAATAATAATAATAATAATAATAATAATATCTTTATTTACTACAAGTACAAGGTATACAGAACATAGTTGACATCAATGACATACTACTATATAGAAAGTCGCTTGTTATGCTGAGCATTTCAGGCAAATTAGGTCAATTTTGTTCAAGAATGCGACCCACACCAGTCAACTAACACCCAGGTACCTATTTTACTGATGGGTGAACACAGACAACAGGTGGAAGGAAACACGCCCAATGTTTTTACCCTTGCCGGGAATCGAACCTGGACACTCAGCGTGTGAAGCGAGAGCTCTTGTCACCAGGCCACGAGTCACTACATTTGGGTTTAGTGCTTCCTACTGCATATAATACTAATATATAACACATCTGGTGCTGGGTCTATATTGTCATGAGACCTGAATCAGGGGATCAGTAACAAGTGGCGTTCCACAGGGATCAATCTTGGGCCCGTTGTTGTTTATAATATATATCAATGATCTTGATGAAGGAATTGCTAGTGATATGAGCAAATTCGCCGATGACACCCAGCAGCAACAGCCTGGTTGATCAGGCGCTGATCCACCAGGAGGCCTGGTCACAGACCGGGCCGCGGGGGCATTGACCCCCGAAACTCTCTCCAGGTAAACTCCAGGTAGGTAGGATAATTGATTCAAACGTAGATGTTAGGGAACTTCAGGAGGATTTAGACAAACTCTACTCTTGGTCAGAAAAGTGGCAGATGCAGTTCAATGTAGATAAATGCAAGGTTCTGAAGCTCGGGAGTGTCCATAACCCTAGCACTTATAAGTTAAATAATGTAGAACTTAGCCATACAGATTGCGAAAAGGACTTGGGGGTTATGGTAAGCAGCAACCTTAAACCAAGACAGCAATGCCTAAGCGTACGTAATAAGGCAAATAGATTACTGGGATTTATATCAAGAAGTGTAAGCAACAGAAGTCCAGAGGTCATACTGCAGCTTTATACATCATTAGTAAGGCCTCACCTAGATTATGCAGCTCAATTCTGGTCTCCATATTACAGAATGGACATAAATTCGTTAGAAAACATTCAGCGTAGGATGACTAAATTAATACATAGCATTAGAAATCTTCCTTATGAAGAAATATTGAAGACTCTTAAGTTACATTCACTTGTTAGACGAAGAATGAGGGGAGACCTGATCGAAGTGTATAAGTGGAAGATAGGTATTAATAAAGGGGATATTAACAAGGTCTTGAGGATATCTCTACAAGAGAGAACCCGCAGTAATGGATTTAAATTAGATAAGTTTAGATTTAG